GGTGSGGCTTATATGTTAATGTTTGTGGATTTTTTTTAAAAAATGGCGGGTGCGGCTTATAGTCCGAAAAATACAGTAAGTGTTTACTTCTGCCAACTCTTTTGAGTGTATGAAAACTGTATATCTGTAATGTTTCTGTTACCATTTGTTCAATAAAACTTATTACCAAGAAAGAAAGAAAAAAAAGAAAGAGTACTTCAGCTAAAACATTACATCACTGTGAATTACATTAATGTTTCTTAAATTTAGAAATAACATTGGTAACAAAACTAAACGATTTTGTTAGACTGACATCTTTCACACATTTATACGTGCCGAGGTGAACAGTTTCAGTCAAATGTTTACATACAGTAGTTTTGGTTCGAGCCGCTCGAAACCCGCTTCGTTTGCTGCTACCGCGTCCGAGCGCAAATCTTTGCAAACATAAGTTGTCATGGCCTCTCTGTTATCTTTAAGTTCTGCTGAGAATCAGCTGTAATGTTAGTGATTCCTTCGTTTCTTTTGTTTTGCCCCAGACAACTTGTTGTCGGGAGCTAACGTTAGCGCTGACCATCAACCATATGTAAACCTATTGCAAGCCAGGACTGACACACAACATGGAAACGCGCAGCTTCATCACACACAACACCCATGGGGAAAAATCGATCTCATGACTAATGAATTGATTTTCCCAAATCTGAACGAAAATCGATACAGATCGATTATTAATTTTTTTAACCCAGCCCTACAGGTCATGTCAAAGGAAGAACTGAATCAAGTTTTTGATGAATGGTTTAAGGCCCACAATGAACAAAAACCACAAAGTGAAGGAATCTACCTGATTCTTTCCAAGAGGCATCGGTCCCATGTGGCCAGGTGGTCCCCCAAACAGAGTGGGTCCAAACCCAGGTACTGAGCACAGAAAGGCAAAAATACAGTTACAGTGCTTCAACTGGTTTCATTAAAAATGAATTCACCATTTAAAAATGACTACATACAGTTTACAACTACTCACAAATGAAAGAGGAGGGCCCTATATTAGGCGAGCGTGGCTTGGAGGCAGCTGAAAAATACTCCACAGCTTTCTTGAATCGCTCCACCTTGTCCTCCATACGTGACTGAAAATAAACAGAGCAGGATGTCGGCTTTTTGTAATAGAGTGAGCAAGTGGGGCAGTTCTAGTTGTGGAGGAAATGGTTCAGTGTATTTAACAACCCTATTTAGAAAAGATGCATGAAAGAACTTAAGCAGGTTCTAGCTGCAGAAACTTCATTTTCATTCTTGATCAACAAATGTTCAGGTTGATTATTAAATAATTACTAGTATCAGTCAGTTACAATCAGTTCGGCTGATTTATCTCTACCCATGACTGTAGCTACCAGATAGTAATCCTTTCCAAAAGCTACTACAATGACAGAGCAGGTGAGCAGGTGTTGTGGTTAAGAAAGAACTTGGTACATTACTGCAACCTTGTGGTAAAGTCAGGAGGAGGTCAGGTGCTGGTTGGAAAATAACCCCTAAAACTGCAGCTACTATCTTTTTTAAATTTATTTACTTTATTGTTAGTATTTGAATACCTCAATTCGTTCCTGATGTTTATGTGGATCAAAATCATACATACCCTCACATTCATTGAATAGAAATGACCCCATTTTTATAAGAAAGCTCAAATCTATCTTGTTTATGTATTCTTAATTTAAACATTTTTTTGTTCCTGCTCTGTCCACACTGGAGTTTTTTTCCTCTGGTAAATATCTGACGGTGGATGACTTATCAAATGTTCACCACTGAATTAGCTGAGTTTCATCAACAGTTCATATGAAGGTGTTATTCTTCTTGTCGGCGCTGCAGTGGAAAAACACTCGCACCATTGCAACACGGGTCGACTGATCATCTAACCACACCACAATGAAAACAGGGTTTATGCAGGTTTCAGTAAGTTTAATTTAAGACTTTTTCAAGACCTTTTAAGACCATCAGGAATGACATTTAAGATCAAACCAACACATTAATAGAAACATTCAAATGGTCCCAGAAATTTTAACATAAAAACCTTTTATTGCTATCAATTTAGGTATTAAAGGATATTTAATTTTAATACAAGAACGCAATATTATTTTAATGAAATGGTCATATCGATGAGACCTTCATAATGACTGCTGTGGACCGCTTCCAACAGAGTTCAAAAATCACTGATATTTAGCCAAGTTTCATTGAAATCATCCTTTCCCATGTTAAAACAACAAGCAGTGGACACGACTGAACTTATTTGTTTTTTGGGGAGATTAATAAGCAGCTGTGTGTGGGGGATTGTGGCGGAAAACAGGTTGAAAACATGGCAGTGAACTGTGCCATTTCTTGCCAGCAGTTATCACTGGATTTGTAGTTTAACTTGCACAAAGACTGGTAGCAAACTTAGCACTTCATAAAAGTAAAAAATATTAAGACTTGACAAAATAAAATTTAAGACCTTGGATGAAAATCTGGGCGTTAAGACCTTTTTAGGCCTAAAATTTAGATTTTGAAACTTTTTAAGACCCTGCATGAACCCTGGAAAAACCCCGTTAGTCGATGAATCTCTCAGGGATGCTGCGTGACATTTAAACATATAAGTCAATCTATCAAAACCCAATATTAAAAACAATAAACATTTAATCAAACAATCGTGTTGAGAGGTTTTATTCAGGAGATCCTTAAGCCGGGTTCCCACCAAACGCGTTTTGAGCAGCCAAAGCAGCCAGTTTACATGCAAAGTCTATGGTGGACACACATCTAGGAGCAGCGCGGCATGATGCAGCGCGTTTTGCCAGTTTAGAGCAGCTCGCAAGGTAGCGGTAGGATGTGGCAGAATATTTTCCATGCATGGGGCGTGTCCAAAGCAGCGGCTGCTCGAGTTAAAAAAATTGAACTTTTGGCTGCTCGACGCGCAGCAGCAACCAATCGGGAGAGAATAATTTTTCCACGTGACGGTTTCCTGAACCCGACAAAGATGGACAGGAGCTCTTTAGCTGAAATCGACCGTCTGCAGTTGGTGTTCTGGCTGGAGATATCAGCACTGATGTGATGAGACAGCAGCTCGCTGAGATCGGAACAAAAAAAAAAGTCCGTCAGATCGCAGCTCCTGGAGTGGTGAAACTAACCAAACAAACCTTCTCTAAATTATCTGGTGAATTAATTATCTTCTGTGCGCAAAGTTCGCTTGCTCTTTAGTAAATAAAACAAAGCCATTTTCTTTATTTTATCTTTATTTCACCCGTCATTAAAGACAGACCYGAAAATACCAAGAAGCTCCTCCCTCTTCAGACGCGCCTCTAGTCTGGTCCTGGTTGAACATAGTGCGTCCAAATGGAGGTGTTGGGAGCTTTTTTGCTGCTCAAGACGCGTTTGGTGGGAACCTGGCTTTACTGTGATGAAGCACAGATGCTGAATCAGGCTTAGTGTTGAAACATCTTTGAGCTACAAACAGATGCCAATTATCAAATGTTTGAAGAGCTGCTAAAAGGTATAATTTCTAAATATTAATATGGTTTTTATTTTAATAAGTTTTTTTAATCACCTTAAGCACCTGCTGATCATATGTTACAAACAGGAGTGTAATACGCTGCATTAAACCACCACAGTGCTCCTGAACTCCAGACTGTATTTCACCACAAGTCTTCATTCCAGTCATGGGCAGTGGAGTATTTGAATAAATTCTAATACTCCTACTTTAATCATTAGCAAAAATATCCAGCTACTCAAAGCACATTTATTCCCATACTTCACGTGAATTAACTAATGGTTTTTAACAGTAACAAATATCAGTCTGCAAACTTGTTCAACGTGTTCGTGGCTGACCTGTGACTGTTTGAAGACATCCCTGGCGATGGCGTCAAGGTTTCCCAGGTCTTTGATGGAGGAGACGAACTCTGAGACAGCTTTGATCACGACCTCACAGGGTGGCAGCACCAACTGATGGGCTCGCACCTGAGACAGAACAAGAACCAGCAGCTTACACGGAGACTTAAAAAAAGGAAAGGCAAAAACATTGGTGATTAAACTAAAAGTTTTCATTTTAAAGTACTGGGAAAAAAGACGTTCAGGCTTATAAATGAGATTAAAGTTTGTTTTATAAAACATATTACTGGGTAGGGATGTCCCGATCCAGATTTTTGGCTCCCGATACAATCTGATTTTTTTTAATGATTAGTCTTTCCGATACCGTTCCGATACCTTTATTTCCTTCCAAGTGACAAGGTTGGTAGTATTGAAGTGAGCCCTGATGTTCCCACCACGAGAAACATCCWGTRTGCAGATTTTGCAAGATGCAGTTTGATCATCATTGTTTTCCATTGAAAAGTGTTCCCACACTGTGGACATGGTTGCATACTTGTGCGCGTCTTGACTTCTTAACAGCAGTTGTAAAGCATGATGATGCTGAAAACTGTCGCGAAAACTGGATCGGCCCGATCACATGACTAAATCCCATTCTACCKGATTTTCAAAATATGGCCATATCTGCCACCAATACCGATACTGAGATCTGATTGGGGCATCCCTAATACTGGGGCCAAATATAAGAACATCTAAAGAGAATCAACTTTATTTTGCTTTGCAAAATGTCATATCTGCTCTTGGTAGGTTTTAGCTTAGTTTTTAATAACTTAAACACAACTGAACTTAACTGATTTATGAGTTTATGAAATCAAGTTTTAATATGAGATGTCAAACTTTTATTTGGCAGTCAGTTTCAAAACTTAAGAGGAAACTTTAAACGTTGTGTTGCTGGGGTTAAGACGGCTGCAGGGCAGAGATATAATCCTGCACCTGACAGGGGAAAGAAGTATTAATTTGTTTTTTGTAGGATACATTGAAACCTGACATACCAAAATTCATAAAGTCATCTTAAGCTGAAAACATTTTTCCCGTTGAAACTAAATGTTTCTGTAAAATACATTTTTATCGTCTTATCTATCAAACACATAAAATTATGTTTTAAACTAAAAAGAGAAAATTATTGCTGGGTTGCAGATGACGTAGTATTAACGACGTTGCAAAATGCAGTTTCATTATGTTAAATCAGCGTCAAAATGTCTAAATTCTGCAGCTGCAACTGTTGTTGCAACCACTCTAATGGGGAGAAATATAAAAGTTTTTTTTTCATATTTGGAAAGTAGTGTGCTAATTTAAAAAACTTACAGAAAAAAAGGCAGAAGTGGATGAACAATCTACGGATAAAAACAGGAAGTGCAGGAATGGACAATGCATGAGTTAGCAGCGACCACTTTCTAACAGGTAAGGATCATATCGTTTAAATCCTATATTCAGATATTTTATTGGACATTTACTCGAATTTGGGTTTACGAGAGCTAAATAAGTTATTTACAAGTAGATCCAAGCAAATAGAAATAAGGACACACAAAATAATTGTAGCTTTTAGGCTTATGAAAGCTTTCATGTGACTCGTTGTATAATAAGAGGTGTGCAGCACCAGATAATGTCAATAGCCTTGATGCCAGGTAGGTCCTGTGAAAATCAACACACTTTAGCCAGCCGGAATGTTGTTTGTGTTACACAACGCTACAACGTTAGCGCTTCCGCTAGCGGTTACACTGTTGATGCGTGTTATACTAAGTGCTATTTTTAGCCATGGAAGGAGAGAAAAAGTCCCAAAACGAGGCGTTCAGAAAACGACAGAAATTGTGAAAAGCSCGGGATAATTTAAAACTAAACAGAAAAAGACCGCAAAGTGCAATGCGCTGCACGTCCTCGATGTTTCTGCACCGGAACAAAAACAGCTGATGCATGTACCGAACGAGTCCAGGGTTAACAACAGGTATCATTCAATTCCCTTTCTGACTAATCATAGTGGCTACCTGACAGTTTTATTTAACAGAGTGAAGTTCTGTGATCAAAACAAGCCTGAAGTGTGCAGCAACAGATTGAAAGCATGAGCTGAAACACATTTATCTGTTGATGCTTCTGTCAACTTAAATGAGATACCTGGAGTGAATATTTCAAGTTTAAATGTATTTATAGAAAACAGTAGGATTTGTTTCCTTTTTGCTGCTGCTTTTTATTTTATGTCATTAGCCTTCATTTATTACTGCTGTCATATATAGCTAACCTGTCAAGACTAACTGGGAACTTAATAAAAATGTGAATTTACTTTTACTATTAACAATAACATTTGAACTCTACAAAGCTCAATGTGCAACATTCAAATTTTTATATTACCCATTTTACTTACTAAATTTCTAACATTAAAGATCACATTCGGTTTTCCAATCCATAAAAATTTATTTCAATAACAGAGTGCTTTTAAGTAATGCCTCCTCAAACCTCACACACATAAATACAATCAAGTGGAGCTTAAAATGCATGAATTAATGCAAGTGATATTGTAATTTTACTTTGATTGCAGCAGGATCATCAGCAAGTGCAGATTACCCCTTCACAATTGTATTGGTCATAAAATAAGCTTAAGTAATGACTGCAGAAGATGAGAATTTTTAAAAATCAGTTTTACTCGATTAATCTACAGAATAATCGATTACTAAAAGTACCATTAGCTGCAGCCCTAGTGAAAAGAAAGGATTATTTAATAAATGATGTCAACAGGAGGATTTTAATCCAAACATTGGTTTTAGTCTTTAATAGAACCACTTGTAGGAGTTCTAAGTAAAACCTGGTCTGATTCTTGAGAAGTCTGCAGCTTTCTCATAGGCTACGTTCACACTGCAGGTCTTAATGCTCAGTTCCGATTTTTTGAAAAAATCCGATCTTTTTGTGTGAACGTT